CCCTCGAGTCGGCCCCAACTCATAGCGACCCCTCCTTGGGTTTCCGAGGCAGTATCACTACGGAAGTAGGATTGCCCAACCTTCCTTCCGAGGAGTGGTGGTTTGAATCCACCCAGCAGCTCTGTGGGAGAAAAACCTAGTGATCACCTTCCATAAAGATTACAACCTAGGAAGCCTATGGAGTTTTACTCTGTCACATGGGTTGCTGAGTCAAAATCAACTTGATGGCACTTAACAACAATGACAATATATTACAGAATTACACTCCATATGGTTTTCAATGGCTAATTTTTTCCAAAGTAGATGACCGGGCCTTTCTTCCAAGGTACCTCTGGGTAGACTTGACCAACCAACCTTTCAATTAGCAGACCAACATGTTAACCATTTGCCCACTTAGGAAACTAATAGTTCCACTGTGACACACATGGGGTCACCATGAGTTGAAATCGACTCAACAGCAACTGGTTTTTGCATTTGTTTGTTTTTATTATACTATATGCACCACATCAAGTATTATGGGTCAGCATTAATTGAAAAAAAAAAAAAAGATGTACTCCTGCCCTTGAGGAATTATCAAATGTTGAGGGGCCAAATATATGGAGAAGGGTTCTAAGAATCAAAACTAAACTACTGCCCAAACTGAACTGCATTAACTTCCCAAAAAAAAAAAAAAAAAAAAAAAAAAAAACCTGTTCTAAGACAGTATTATCTAATAGGAATATAATATGAGCCACATATGTAATTGTAATTGAAGTTTTTTTTACCAACTTCTGCAGTTAGAAATCAATCATTCACTCAAGATGCACTGATAATTACAATGCAAATATTGGAAACAAAGAAGAATTAGTAGGTGGAAAATATGGTCTTGGCGATAGTAATGACAAGAAATCACATGATAAAATTTTGCAAGGTGAATATGATTTATTCATTGCAAATATCTTGTTTCAACAGCATAAATGGTGACTATACATATGGCCCTTGCCAGACGGAATAAAATTTACTACATCTGAGGAAATAGATGATGGGGAGGCTTAATACCATCAGTCAGAACAAAGGCAGAAGCCAACTTCAGAGCAATCAATTGCTCATATGCAAGTTCAAGTTGAAGCTGAAGAAAATTGAAACAAGTGTATAAAAGCCAACCACCACTCATCTATCAACGTGTTGTACTGTGGTGACTTGCATGTCGGTATAAGGCTGGAAGCTATTCCACTGGTATTGTGAATACTAGCAGGGTTGCCATGGCTTCCAGACTAAGACAGACTGGGAAGAAGAATGGAGCCATCCACTTCTGAAAAAATTGGCCTCTGAATACCTTATGAATAGCAGTGAAACACTGTTTGATATATTACTGAAAAACTTACTGAATAGCAGTGAAACATTGTTTGCTATATTGCCAGAAGATGAGCCCCTCAGGTTGAAAGGTACTCAAAATACAACTGGGAAAGAGCTGCCTCCTCAAAGTAGAGCTGACCTTAAGGATGTGGATGGAGTCAACCTTTAAAGACCTTCATTTACTGATGGGGCACAACTCGAAATGAGAAGAAACAACTGAAAACAATCATTAATAATCAGAACATGAAATGTACAAAGTATGAATCTAGGAAAAATTGAAGTTGTCAAAAATGAAAAGGAACACATAAAGATTGCTGTCTTAGGCATTAGTGGGCTGAACTGGACTGGTATTGATTATTTTGAATCAGACAATATAGCCTACCAAAAGGGAGCTCTGGTAGCATAGTGCCTAAGACACTTGACTGCTAAC